CCAGCGACTAATACAAAAAGGAATTGTAACCGCAAGAAACACCCAGTTTATTACTCTAGGGTATTAGGCCCAAAACGAAAAAAAAACACTGTCAGTGAGCAGTAGCAACATCAGTGAGCAGTAGCAACATCAGTAGCAGTAACAGCAGTAACAGCAGTAGCAGCACTCACTTGGTGGCGAGCCTCCCGAGCTGCTGTTCCAACCGGTCGTGTGCGGGGTCCTCACCGCGACGAGGAACCTTCAGGTGGCCCCGCCGCCGCCGCTCTAGCCGCGCCCGTTTCGCCTCCCGCTTCGCCGCCGCCTCCGCGTCCTCCTCTGCCTGCCGCTTGGACACCGACTTGGACTTCTGCGGGGGCAGTTCGGGACCGTTGCGGCTTTGGGCACTTTAAAGTACATATCAGTGCGTCAGCAGACAAACCACCAGTAGTAGTAGCTTTAGCAGCTTTAGCAGCAGCATAATCAGCGCAAGTGCAACAAGGGTAACCCAGCGTGCTATCACCTATCAGCAGTGTGCAGCACATCTACAGCCCCATGTGCGATCATCCTTCTGCCTCTGCTACACACTACTGCTATACATCACGGCACATCTACAGCCCCAGACGTACCGACAGAATGGGCGCTTCTTCTTCTTCTTCGTCTGCTGCTTTCGCCTTTGCGGCCTTTGTCTTGAGCAGTTTGCTGAAGGCTCGGGCAAAGGAAGCGCCTTTAGAACCCTCCAAGAAGCGGCTGGCGCCGTCAGCGGCGGCGGCCGGCCCGGCCTGTGACCCGGACTTCCTTCGGGCGTCCTGCTGCTCATTTCCATCTTCCTCATCGCCCGAGACATCGTCCCCCCCGTCACTGTCATCTTCACCGTCAGCGTCCACATCTTCTTCGCCACCCGTGTCCCCACCATCGTCATCACCATCGTCCTCATCGGAATCTCGCATCAAGTCACCGCTGCTGTCGTCGTCATCGCCCTCATCGCCATCTACTCCGGTCGCATCGTCTTCATCGTCCTCATCATCACCGCCTTTAATGCCGCCATCATCATCATCATCGTCGTCGTCGTCGTCTGTATGGTTGCGGGATTTCAAACTTGAAGAGTTAGCTGGAACCCTAAAAAGTGGGGAAAAAGACGTGGTCTGTCCTCTCCTGCCCTAATTCGTTCTGGTCAGCCCTGAGAAGGGCCATCGATGCGGTAAAGCATCACATGAGAACGGGCATGTCAGCCCTCCTTGGTAGGATGCAAGTCGACAATACACACACACACACGTCCGAGGTCATTTCCCCCCCCTCCTTCCGCCCCCTCTAACCCCTCCGCCCCTTTCCAGGGGCCCTTCCTTAAGTACCAACCCTAACGGCTGCCAGCAGCCTGAGCCCCTGAGCCGACCAATCCGTTTCCAGGGATCACCTTCTTCCCGCCCAAATTCATCCAGCAACAAGTCAGCATCCGATCCCAAATCACCCTCCTCCTCCTCCTCCTCCTCGCCGTCGCTCCCCTCCTCGCTGACCACGTCGCTGTCTCCCTCGTCGCTGCTGCTGCTGCCGCTTCCCCCCGCTTCGTGCAGCTCCATGTCCCCGTCGTCCTCGTCCTCCTCCCGTTGCTGCTGCTGCTGCATCTCCTCCCCTGAGTCAGAGGAGGCGGGCTCTCCGCCTCTGCCAACTCCTCGGCGGCGTTTCAGCCCTGCGAGGTGGAGGGGGCGACCTCAAGGAAAAGCGGGGAGTTTTATGATATGGGGGGGCCTTCTCAAAAAAGGGAGAGTGGGAAGCTGGGCGCGCCTTGCACGCGCCTGCCGCTGTGCTCCCCCTTCTGGAAGTCCCTCCGGGAATCGCTTAGGTGGGCAGCGAGTCTAGCAGGTCTTTCCACAGCACAGGGGGAAGAGTGGTCCATCAGGGTAGAGAGTCATGCGGTATCTGGCGGTACACGCGGCGCACCTTGGTCTGCGAGCAAGTCATCCCGGGACGCTGGACCCCGACGCCCCTTTGCAGCTTGGCCCGTCCTTGCAGGACCTACATAAATGGGGCCCCACGGAGCTATAAATGATATGATTTGTGCGCGGGGTGTGGCCTATGAACCAAGGCGGCGGCGGCCGCATCTGCGCAGTGGGATGGCAACCCACGGAGCATAGGTGCATGCAATATGATATATGGTGCATGGATATGATATAGCCAAGCAAATATGCGAGCACAAAACTCCACGGTCATGTCGCGTACCGTTCTCCTTCGCGTGAACTTTCGTTTTCAGCTGTTGTCCGTTGCCCATTTATTAGGACAGTAGCACCCGTGGAAGTGGATATTTGCCGGTGAATTAGTCGCCGTGAAAGAAGTTCAGAAAATGATCCTGAAATGTACTATGATAGCTTATTACTTATGTCTAGGTCCATCAGCAAGTCGATATCATAATCATATTTGTGATACACACTTCAATAAGGGAGGATTCACGCAGTCGCTATTCGCTCTGTCTGGTTAGCCACTCCCATATAATCAACTCCCAACTGTTCCCTAACCTGCGTCTGTTGTTGTGACGCTGTGTGTCACGAAAGACTTGTATAATTCCTCCCAAATAATATCCAAACAAGTCGTGATGCAAACTCGATAACCCGCATGCAGCTATTAACCAGCTGTCAAGCTTGTTCCAGCGTGACATGCCTTGAGCGATCAAGTTCTCTCGGCCGAGCCGACGTTGCACAAAACATCTTTCAGTTTGATCGCTTCACATCTATAGCGGGCGTACCATCCCATCATCAGATCCCTCGTTTGCCGCTGCGATGATTACCGCAACCGCTCGTAACGCCATTGGCTGCCACAAAGGTTCTCCTATCTCCTCCTCTCGACCACATGCACAAACAACCACCTCATTTTTGGCCATAAAGTCGATTCGTTTTTAAACCTTCACAAGGAAATCTCGCTATTCGTCCGCCTCTCTGGAAGACCGTGCGGCGGTTTACCCTGCAGTCGACCCGCGCTTGCAGCATCCCCTGCCCGGACGAGCGGAAAACCACGGCATTTGCGCTCAAGAACGATTAACAAGGTACCATTGTTCACGCAAACATAACGAAAGCAGCTTCGGGCCAGTACTTGTGATTTCATTAAATGTTCGTCCCACGGGCCCGGCACCTGCTGCAGCTTGTGCTGCTACTGCTGCTACTACCTAGGCTCCTGCAGCTAAGGCTGAGGCGCCAGCTCACACGCAACCGCTGAATATGGAGTTTGAACACATATCGCATATCGCATGCCCAAAAGGACAGGTCATTAGCTCCTATAACCTCTAACGCAGGCACCGGCCGGTGGCCCTTCAGACCCCTGACTGGTTCACACACCCTCCTCCCAAACTCACTCATGGCCCCCTTTGAGGCGCACACGCTTTGCGCAGCAGATACCCTGCCTAGCACCCCACCACATCATGGCAACTTGTACCGCAGCCGACACCACCGCCGCCGCAGCAGCCACCACTGGCATATGCATCGTCATGAGCGCCGCTGGTAGCTACAAGGGTACTGGTGACGCAGACGGGAACGAGGATGGCGCTTACGGCAGTAGTCAAGGAGCAGTAGCTCGAGTACCGTTGCACAGCCATCCGACACGGCGCTGCTCCGGTAGCAGCCCTAGGCACGGCAGTAGCACTTGCAGCAGCGGCAGTAGCATTTGCAGGGGTGGCGCTTGCGCTTGCTACTGCTACTGCGAGCCGGAGGATGGAAGTAACGACTGCGGTTACAACGATAGCAGTAGCAGCAGCCGCAGCAGCAGCAGCAGCAGCAACAGCAGCGGTGGCCTCGGCGGTTGTGGCGGGGGCCTAAGGAACGGCAGTGGCAGCGGCGGTGGAGGCAGTAGCAGCAGCTGCCGTGGCAGCCCGTACAACTGTCCGTCTGTCGTAGACGCGATTCTCCGCAGCGAGCATTTCCCAGTGCTGCTACTGCCGGGAAGCTCCATATCACATCGGTCGGTGAGCTGCTGCTGCTGCTGCTGCTGTTGCTGGTGTTGGTGCTGCTACTGCTGGTGTGTGGTTGTTACTGCTGGTGTTGTCATGTACCACGTGACGGTGAAAAAATATAGCTTCTGAGCGTACGGCACCTCCGTACACCGACATTACGGTACGGGGCCGAGGACCCCTTGCTTGGGGCTCTCACACATCCTTACCTTTTTCACCTCTTCACGGACTGTTAGATTCCGAAATAACAGTTAAAAATTAGATTCCGAAATAACAGTTAAAGAAAATTTAATAGCAAATTGAGCCATTACGCCTGATGAGATAGAAGCAGAAGAACTTCTGAACCTTCTGGTATATATTGCCCTGGCTTGTGCTTGCATACACGCACACACACACAGCCCCATTACCCCCCTGCCACCCCCCTCTTTCTGGGGGGCTCCCCCCCGGCCCCACGCGGCGGCGGCAGACGGCGCGCTCCACGGCGCGGCCTCCACTCGGTCTGCCTCTGAATGATCCGCGCCGACCCATCCCCGTGGAAACCGAACTCTTCTCCGGTTGCGCATTCCTGTTCCTGCCGGGGCTGCCCACTACCCCGCCCGGGCTCTTCGAGGGGCGCAAGCGGCGCTTCATGTTCGTGCTGCAGGCGGGTACCAAAGGGGGCGGGAGAGGGGGACAGGGACGGCGTGGGGGGATGTCCTAGGAAGGTGGGGACTTCTGCAGAAGCCGGCCATCCTGGGCTCAGTCCGTTTTAGAGCTTGTGGGATTTGAATTGTTGGATTGTTGGATTGTTGGATTGTTGGATTGTTGGATTGTTGGATTGTTGGATTGTTGGATTGTTGGATTGTTGGATTGTTGGATTGTTGGATTGTTGGATTGTTGGATTGTTGGATTGTCGTGGTTTATTGGATTCGTCGCGAGGCACACGGAGTATGATGGCTCTGCGGTGAAGGGAGACATGCACCGAAACCCAGCCGGAAAACACGGTTTTTCCACCTCTTCGGCGGGCAGCCGTGCTGTCCTTTGTCCAATTGAATTGAAATCTGGTACATGGTGCTCAATTAACCTGCAGCTCCCAGCCAACTACCAACTCCCAACGGCCAACTGCGGTTACCCCTACCCCACAACTCCCGTAACCCCTTGCAGGGTCGCTTCAAGCGCCCCGTCTCCGCCGACCGACTTCTCATCGGCTGCCACTACCGGCGGCCCCTCAGACTGGGAGGCAGCATCGCCCTGGCTGCCGTACTGTCCTGGGTGTCAAGGCTGCTGGCGCGCGGCGGCGGCGCGGGTGGTGTGGAGCTGGTGCTTACGGGGAACGACCCACGGGTCCGTGCACCCCTGGCGGCTGCCGCCCACGTGATGCACGTGTCCCGACTCGGCGAGCAGCCCCCGCCGCTGGCAGCTTGCGAGGACACCCGGCTGATGGGGCTCCCGCTGATGAATCCCGTTGGGGGTAGGTGGTGGCGGCTCGTGTACTAGTAATAGTAGTAATAATAGTAGTAGTAGTAGTAGTAGTAGTAGTAGTAGTAGTAGTAGTAGTAGTAGTAGTAGTAGTAGTAGTAGTAGTAGTAGTAGTAGTAGTAGTAGTAGTAGTAGTAGTAGTAGTAGTAGTAGTAGTAGTAGTAGTAGTAGTAGTAGTAGTAGTAGTAGTAGTAGTAGTAGTAGTAGTAGTAGTAGTAGTAGTAGTAGTAGTAGTAGTAGTAGTAGTAGTAGTAGTAGTAGTAGTAGTAGTAGTAGTAGAAGTAGTAGTACTAGTAAGTATTTAGTATGTATTACAGCGAGAGCCCCAGACCCCAAGGGATTACCCCAGCAGGGTGGTAGGGGACCGTCGGGGGCCACAACACTGCACTGGTGGTGGTGGTTGGTGGTTGGTTGTTAGTTGTTGGTGTAACAGATTGTTGGAGAGGGCGCGGATGTGCGGAGAGTGCTCGGGGGGGTCTAGGGACTTAGGGAGCCCGGGGATTGGGAGATATCAGTAACTGGGGTAAGAGGGGGGTAACGTGTGTGTGTATGTGTATGTGAACGTTACAAGTATCTGACGGGGCCTGACGCTGGCCAGGGGCTGCTGCCCAGCCCCAACGGAAAGACCGCCTAAGCTCTCTCCCTAAGCGGACGGGAGAGGGGCGCGAGGGGTATACCGGTGTGGAGTACGTCAGTACGACATCCTGTGGCTCCCCTTGCATGTACAACAGCTGTCCTTATGCCCCTGGAGTGAATGTGTGAAGACGCGTTGTGTGATGAGCTAAGGGGGGGAGACGTGGATGGCGACAGCGGATATCCGTGGTGGCGGCGACGGCGGCGGTGGCGGCGGTGGTGGTGGTGGTGGTGGTGTGTGTGGGGGGGGGGGGGGAGAGGCCGTTGAAAAGCAGCACCACCAGCAAAGGCCCTTTTGGCCAATCTCAACCGCGTCTGTGGGGGACGTAATTCCGGTAACATTTAGCAAAAACAGATTAAAAAACACAAACACAAACACAAACACAAACAACAACTACAACAACTACAACAACAAACCAAAACTACCATAAACATGACTGCAATCCCCATCGTCACACCATCCTGCAGGCCAGCCCTGGTCCGCCGTACAGCGGCGGCAGTACTTTCGTCGTACGGCCCACCGGGCAGCCCACGTGTTCGATACGGAGCACGTGTGGACGTTCCACACCTGGGACCAGGCGCTCGGGTACGGCGACTGCAGGTACGGTGTACGACGTCTGATACAGCATGCGATGCTGCACAAGAGACCAGAGCATGTACATTTCCAAAATGCAAATGGAGAGCACGCGCCTCCACACGGGCGCCGTTCGGGGCAAGTCACAGCCCGCACGGGAACAGCTTCAGGATACACACCCCGCTGCCGCACATCAAATCCCACATAAGCATCATCACTGCCCCTACCACTCACTCCAATACAGTATCACCTCCTTCAGCACCCTTAGGACCATGTTTATCCCTAAAATATGTCTGCGTGCAAACAGCCGTTACAGCAACCGGCCCCTCCCCTCCCCTCCCCGCCGCCCCCCCCGGGGGTGTGCATACTCCACATCAGGCTCCACACGGGTCTGGGAACTTCCGTGGATTTGGTGCCGTACCTTGGCGACCTGCCCCTCCAACTCCTGGTTGAGGAATCCCTCAACGGCCAGGTAGCCCTGCATCTGGACGTATGCATCTGGAGGCAGACGGCAACACCCGCCGCCTCTGCCGCCACTGTCGCCCCCAGCACCAGCAGGCCATCCAGGCGGTAGCGCTGCCGCCGCCGCCATCACCGCCGCCGCCGCCACCTCTTTGACACCTTGGCGGCCGTGGCGGCGGCACTTAAGCAACGGGATGCGGGGGCAATGGCAGCTGAGTGCGGCACGGGTGTCAGCTAAGCGCGGAGAGGAATCAGTTACCTCGGATGAACTGTCGATGTCTTTATGTCGGTGCTGCTATGTTCCTCGGCACGCAGTCCTACTTCTTCAGGCCTATTCAGATCTGATTAGCTCAGATATGGAATCCAGATCTAGATTTTAAATTCGGAATCCAGATCTGGAAACCCAAATCTGGAATTCAGATCTGGAATTCAGATCTATTGGGAGGTCCTGGGGTGCAACAACCGTGGCACGTGAAGCCGCAAGCCGTATGGCGATGGGTGTTAAAGTCATATATCTTTTGAGCTGCTGCAAGTTCTCCACTAAAAGCTAAGCTCAGCGAAGGACATCGGACGACAGTAAGGCCCGGAGTGCTTTGAAGGGGCTGCGCCGTACAAACCGGGGAGCCCCAAACCCAGGTGCATGGATCGTTGTAATGTACGGCCAATCGTCGCCAAAACCGCCTGTCCCCGTCCACTACCGTCCCCGGCCCTCCCCCGTTTCCTTTTACAAAATTGCAAGAAATTGTCATGTAAACTCACATTTAAGCGCTGAAAAGCACGTGCACACCGTGCTGTACGGCACTTGCCTTGGAAACAGCACAGTAAGCGCCAGACCACCCGAATCCTACAGCCCACCCGGTGCCGTGCGCCGTTCTCGTTTGTCAAACTTGCACGACACCGCCACACATGTTGTCAATCCTAAGCTGCCAGCTACTTGCTCATTCGCTCGCTCGCCATACATACATACATACCAACATACCTCGCTCTCCCCCGGCCCTCTACGGCAACCCCCTTCCCCCCTCTCCCCACTTCCCCACCCCCTCTCCTCCCCTCGCAGACGCCGCCAATGTCGCGTCACCAATCGCCGTTCACCGTCAGTCGGCCTGAGAACGCGCACACGCATGCACGTACATACATACATACATGCGTACAACCCGGCAACCCTATCCCCGCAAACTCTCCGTCACGCAACTCTCCAACCGTCTCCACCATCGTTCTCTAATGGGTGTATGATGTGTGAAACAGGGGGGTGTATCTTCGCCCGTGGCAGCTACCCTGCGAAACCCTGCCTTCCCCGGTATTTCGGGGCACCCTCATCCAGTCACCCTAGTCAACTTCTCAGTGGATCGCTCAGGTTCCGCACCCACCACCAGCATCCAACGGAATCTCCCGGGTCGACAGCGGCGCAACTCCGTTCCTGGTCGGCTCGCAGGTTAACTGTATCCCTGGTCACCACCGTCCATCAACTAGTGGCGCAATGCCTTCCACCATCGGAAGGACTTGGTCCCTAACGGGTATCGATCCCAGGATCTCCCGGGGGCAATGGTCGCGCCTTACAAGTAGTGCCAAACCCTATATGGTGTATGTATGTATGTATGTATGCATGTACGTGCAAAACCCAAGGAACCCACCCCCCGGTTGGGTTGATGGGGGCAGGGGGGGAAGGGGGGAAAGACGAACCACAGATGAGTGAAGCTGATACCCACCCGGGATGGATAGACGGATACTGCATCAGCAATATGCAGGGAGCTGCCGACCGATAGCGACTTGGGAAGTAGTCATCGTAATGGGGGCCAAAGGGGGAAGGAACTTACGGGCTGATTGCGAAAAACCCAAAACGCCCGAAATAGGCTCAATAAGAGGCTGCTGCGGGCCACAGCAAAAACGTCGTACATCTCGTAACGTGTACGAAAATTGAGGGATGAGGGCACCTCTTCATAATCAACTGGAAAATTGCAATTCAACCAAAAAACCCCAAAGACCTTTGTGAAATCCATTATTTTTAAAGGTCACCCCCCACGTCACCTGCCGTACTCCTTAAAACCGCCACACGCCAGACAGCCAGTCAGCCAAGGAGGCAGACAGCAACACAGCAATAAATTAGTCACTATTTATGATTCAGATCTTCCATCTAACGATAGCACCTAGCTGCACCACCACCACCACCACCCGGACAGCGACCCCCAACCATTACAGAGTCGGGGGCCCGCATCCTGCGGCTGGGCGGGCGCCTGGGCAGCGGAAAAACCCGTCCTACCCAGGATACACCATAACACCCCGGCCGCACCCCCTTCCTAAACCTATGACATCCCCCTCACCCTGCGTCCCCCCCCAAAACACACGCACGCACACACAATCGCTCCAAACACCCTCTCTTCTTTCCCTCCCACCCCGCCCCACATACACAAAGCGAGCGCTTAAAGTGAGCCCAAAACGTGGGGGAATGTGGCAATTAGTTGGCAGGGAGGGCCCGCGCGCGCCTCCCTTCCTCCCCCCCCCCACACACACCAGCCCACACAGCTGCTAATACCCCCTTCCCCCTAGAAGCCGTGTTTCGGTCCGATGACCCCGAACAGCTCCAACAGCTCGAAGAAACCCAACACCACCTCCACCACGATCAGCCAGATGACCACCAGTTCAAGTCGGTTGCCGTGGCGGTTCTCCTCCTGAGCTCGGAGTAACTCCAACATCTCCTGGGGGTGGGGGGGAAAAAGGGGAGCGGGAAAGGGGGGAGGTGTGTATGTATGTATGTACGTATGTGTGTATGTATGTATGTGTGTATGTATGTATGTACATATGTGTGTGTATTTTGCGGGGTGTTGAGGTGGCGGGTGTGTGACGGGGTATAGGGAGAGAGAAAGGGTGATGAGAGGGAGGCGTGTGTGCGTGTGCGTGTGTGGTGGTAACAATAGAACGGCAGACCGGTATGCGGTACACAGGCGGGAGGGGAGGGATGTGCCGCTACATACCACATAACCTGCGTACACAGACATATATGCACACCGCCATACTGCTGCCGTGCAATCCTCCACCCCTGCCTCAGCAGGTATATATTCCCTCCCCTATTCCACCCCCGCCATCTCCCCGCCGCACC